CACGCGGGACAAGTAATTTCCTTATCACACTTGCACTTTTTCCGTCAATTTTTTACGTTTCCGTCTAAATTGAGGCTTTCCGCGAGTATCGTTTGCAAGCGGAACGGCTCCCAGACGAAAGGCCCTGTCACACTAGCACTTTTTCCGTCAATTTCTGGGGTTCCGTCTGAATCTGAGGCTTTCCGCAAGGATCGTCTGCAAACGGAACGCCTCCCAGACCAAGACGGTTACGACCGTTTCCGTCTGACTAATTTCCGTCTTGATCTTGTGCTATTAATAATTTAGATAGGATGAGTGAATGTAAACATGAGCTAATATTTTAGAACATTCGTATATACAATATACATCATCATATTTCTTTAAAATACGAGTAGTATGTATGAGAATGTTCGTGTGATTCCCGGGACCTCACTCCGATAGCGCCATGTTTGTTTAATAATTTATTAATAGCACAAGATCAAGGCGGAAATTAGTCAGACGGATACGGTCGTAACGTCTTCGTCTGGGAGGTTTTCCGTTTGCAAACGTAACTTGCGGAAAGCCTCAAATTCGGACGGAAACGCAAAAATTAACGGAAAAGGTGATGCTGTGATAGGGCTTATGGGTCAGTCGATTTTCATACGGATAGTTCATTCGGAAACGCAAAAATATGACGGAAAAATAAAGGCCGTGTCACACTAGCACTTTTTCCGTCAATTTTTTGACAATTTTATTTAACATAAATACAAACATTTTCGAATATAGCTCTTGATTTGACTATGCTTGGCTGAAAAAGTTGACGGAAAGGTTTTCAGACGGAAACGATCATTATCGTCTGACTGGAAAATCGACAATTCGCCCAAAAATGGACAAAATTTCAGAAAATTGTCTAAAAATTGACGGAAAAAGTGCTAGTGTGACGGCACCTTTAATAATAGTGTGATAGGGCCTAAAATTTAGTCTTGGTCTACGAAGGATCTATATAGCTAGAATGTTTTTACTGATAAATTTGATAGAATGAGTAAATGTAAACATAAGCTAAGATTTTAGAACATTCGTGTATATAATACACACCATCATATTTCTTTAGAATAACATAGTGTATATGAAAGTGTTCGTGTGATTCCCGGGACCAAAAATTGGCGGATTGGGCCTTCAGAATGATTTGATTGTAATGTCCGTGAATGGAGCAGTATTTTCCAATTTAATTTCCCTTGTTCTGCATCAACGAGAATTGTTTCCCTAAATGTTTTATCCTTATGAGAATGGTGGCACATGCTGATACAATATTAGGAATTTCCAATAAGTTATCAATTTAG